ATTGGGTTGCTCGGCTGCACCAGTACATCGAACAAAGGGGGACAACGGAAAGGAACACCAGCCGGAAAAAAGGATGACGGGGCACGACAGTTGAAAGGAAGTGTAACAGAACCCCACAATGTTCGGAACCTGAGAGGTGATTGGGGTGAATGACATTCAGTTGACATGGACATTGACATGTCAGTGCAAAAAGTCGCCAAAATCTCACCTCCCCACAGGTTACGGTCCCAGATATCTGGGAGAACCAAACATTCGGAAGCGAGTGACGTCCATGCTGACGAGCTGACAAAGCCCGCCCCCGAAGCTTTGGTAAATTGCAAGAACCCGCAGAGTCCTGGGGATAGCGATGGAGTGAGTTGTCCTGGGAATTGATGAGCTGAGGACGCTAACGGAGTACTAAGCGGGCGGAAACAATATATATGGGGGAGGGGGAAATTGCGGACGTCCGAGGGTTCTCGTCTATTTACATACATACATACATACGAGTTTCCACTGACTGCGTTCTCCGTTGCAAAAGCGAGCGAGCGGGCTACATACTCCATGGCGGAGAAGACGTCCAAATAAGGTTTGGGACGAAGATGTGGGACGAATCAGGGTCCAATTCCTATCAAGACAAGGGACTCCTTTCTTTTCGGCTGTTCCCTCGTTTATAACGCGACGATGGAGATTGGCAAGGAGGTGACAACTTTTGCTGTGAAGAGCAGCGATACTCCTTGATTAGTGGGCCAATAGAGGCTTAGTGTGACCAACACCAGAAACGAGGATCCAACTAAAAGAGGAACGGAACGCGTCTGGACTTTCCCGTCGTGATTGCACCGGCTTTACGCGGAAGAACAGTGGACACTCGGGGGGTATGCGCTAGTGATCGGACACTGGGTATGTACGCTATAACGGGGGAAGGCCGCCAGAGACTCACTGTAACGACGGAACAATGCTAAAACTGAAGCCGCCCACAACAACCCGAGAACAACCAACCTCCTTTCGATCCCCCCTGCAAGAACCTAAAGTGCACTCTAAAGTGTATCTTTTAGTCAATGGAAACATCGCTTCCACCGACCATTCCCTTCTCGCTCTGAACACCTCCAGAACCGGAACTCGCTCGGACATGCGGGGGTCGTTGGTATGGTCACCTGCCCTGTAAATACAAGCAATTGGGATAGGCGATCTTTATTTGCACTTAGTGACCATTTGCACATAGCGCGGTACGAGTGCACGGGTCCCGTTCCCGGCCGTCGCCCACTGAGGTCCGCTGCCCGAAGTGGAGTAGGTGGACTGGAGTGAGTGACCTCTACCGAGAGCCGGAGATCCTCCTCTCATAAGGGCATACCTGGCAGAAGGACACCCCTTAAGTGCAAAACCAAGCCTAACCAGCTTGCATTTAGCGGTAGTAGGCCTTGACATAGTAAACCAATTGAGGCACCCAAAATCTCAAGTATTTCTGGGGTCTTCGCAATTATCAGTATTTGCATCTACAGGATATCCTACCTACTGTGAATGGCCGTCGACTCATCCAGTCGTCTTTTTTTCTCGTGTGGCTGTCCCTCACATCGCGCCACAGTCTAAAGGCTCATCCTCTTGTGCCTACAGCTGCAGACCGAGTAAGCTTGGACAAGTGGCAGTCAGCTGGCCTGCCAACCTCGCCGGCTTCTTGATCACCCCCTGTCACATCTCCACGATAACAATCCCAAGTAGGGTTAGCCTCAAACCACCACCAACAAGCCGCGCTCACCCTCTCTCCCCCACGAATGTCCCCCGCGGCAACGTCCCCGCCTCCATGTCCGTCCCTCCATGACTCCAACCACTTGTACCCAGCCTGTTTGGTTCAGACCTCCCCATCCCCCTCCAAGAACACACTGCAAGACCGTCTGGAAGAGTCTTCAGGACGAGCCACAATGTCGCAAGACGGTGGACACCAACCATTGGACTCCCTCCGTGATGGGATGGATGCTCCCGCCGCTACTAACACCGCCCTGGAGAATACCCCGCTGCTCTTCGATCGTCAAAGTCCCGGGTACACGGACCTCGACAACAGTGTCAACACCACCAAGAACAGAAACAACCCTGGGCCTAGTGATTCCAACGGTTGCAGGGTTATCTCTAGGCATGGACATGGCGCCGGCGAGGAGCATGATGATCTCGATGAAGCGTCCCATGCGCGCCAATTAAACCCTCGTCGGAGGCAACGGTTGAATGCCACATCACCTCAAGCATCGCCGGCAAAGCACCGACTTTGGGACACTATCTCCAAGCGACTCGTTTTCCTGCAACGGGATGAAAATGAACGGTCGCCGTTGGAGAAGGATCTGGTGCGGAAGCTGGATGTCTTTCTCTTGACTTTTGGGTGTATCTCGCAAGGTAGGTTTGGAATAGCACACTGATGTATAACTTTGTGAGGACGTGAGGTTGATGATGATGATGATGCCTTGAACTCAGTGATCAAGTAAGAACTTTCCATGTTCTTCTTTCCAAGTCGTAAGAAAAAAAAATCAAGATTGACAAATTCGGTCCAGATACCTCGACCAAACCAACATCAGCTCCGCATACGTCTCTGGCATGAAAGAAGACTTGCAACTCAACGGCAACGAGTTAAACTAGTGAGAAAAAAAAACGATATCCGTTGTAATGCGCCACATGTAACAAAGCCAGCTGATGTCCTCTCGCTCTACCCAGTTTCCTCACCTTCTTCAGCATCTCCTACTGTCTCATGCTCATCCCCTCCCAGGTAATCATCACGTACGTTCGTCCCAGCTACTGGCTTCCAGGGCTCGAGATTGGATGGGGTTTCGTGACCGCTCTCATTGCCTTCGCCCAGAATGCTTACCAAGTCTACGCCTTGCGAGTCTTGCTCGGCTTGTTTGAAAGCAGTGCGTGGCCGGGCATGATGACCCTTTTCAGTCAGTGCAGTTTCCTTGTTGTCTTTCTCGTTCTCTTTTTTCTGTTCCACCCCATTTACCCTTTTCTGTCTCCATCAGTGCCATGGCTCCCATAAACACGGAAGTCGTTATGCAAGGCACGAGTGTAACGCTGAATTGACACGATAGCTGACGACGTGACTGCTGGGTTATAAACGAAACAGTGTACTGGTACACTCCCCTAGAACTCGCTAAGCGCATGGGCTTTTACCATTCTTGTCAGGCATTGGGGTCGATGATGTCTGGGGCATTACAGGTTGCGGTGCTCGAGTCTCTTGAAGGCAAATGGGGACTTGGGGGTTGGCGGTTAGTAGTCTCCTCCTTCTGTTCCTCCTCCATCTCCTCCCCTCTTCTCCTCTCTTCCTTCCCCCCAAAACTATCGCACCCAACGTCTCAACTTACCCACCGCTAACCCATCCTCCCATAACCAAGATGGCTCTTTATAATAAACGGTCTCCTAACTCTCCTGATCGGATTCACCGGTTTCTTCCTCATCCCGGACTACCCCCGCTCCCCCAATCCACGCTGCCTCAAAGCCTCTCCTCAAACACTCTCTTGCTCTTCAACTCCTTCCCTGAGCTTCGGCTGGCTCACCCCAGCACACATCCAAGCCGCCGAGGACCGCCTCAAACGACACGGCCGAACCGACTCCAAAAAGATCACTTGGCGCGCCGCCAAGCGTACCTTTAGGTCATGGATCTCCTACTTCATTCCGGCACTGTATGTTGCTTCGGTGTTGGCGCCTTATGGGTACAATTATTTTAATCTTTTCTTGAAGGAGCTAAAAGACCAGAATGGGAGGCCGAGGTGGAGCGTTGAGCAGGTGAATGCAATTCCGATTGCGGGAAATGGGGTGAATGTGGTGTTTGGTGAGTACCTACCTACCTACCTACCTACCTACCTACCTACCTACCTACCTACCTACCTACCTACCTACCTACTGGGTAGAATGTTGTTGAGGAGTTTTGAGGAAAGGGGACATGGGTTGGTGTGAGGAGGGCTGGTGAGAAGGTGGACATGGACGAGGCTGACTGATGTGGTTGACATGACAGTTTGGATTTGGGCGATTTTATCGGATCTGTTGCAGACTCGGTGGACGCTGTTGGTTGCTCAAGGTGAGTGTTGAACACCCATAAGGTCTTCTGCACAATACTCGGGGTAACATGCTCATGCTAACATCGATGTCATCGACCTGAAGGCGTGATTGGACTGATTCCATGCATCATCATGAGCATCTGGACCTCTCACCCGGATACCACACCAGTTTCTGCTGCCTACGCCAGTTACTTCATGACTTATATGAGTCTAGGAACAGCGCCACTGATTATGTCTTGGCTGTCTGATATGTAAGTCCGCATCCTACCTGCACCAAGCTCGTCATGTCAGTGGGGGGGAAGGGCTATGGAAGCTGATCTTGATTATATAGACTGCCGCAAGACTCAGAGGCTCGCACCTTGATAGTCGGGTACTCCATAGCCGGGGTCTACGCCATCTTGACCTGGTCTCAGGTTCTCATATGGCCTGCTTCACAGGCTCCTTACTGTGTGTTTCACCCACTCCCTTTGTCCCATGTTTGCCAGTTTCCACGGCTGACACCTTCTCGTCCCACAGACCACTATGCCTGGCAAATATCCATCGTGCTTTGGATACTCGTCATCATCATGTGTTGGATGCTGAACATTATCGATGTTCGAATTTTACTGTGAGCTACAACACCTGATCATATCCCTGAAAACCCCCTTTTACACACTGGCCTGACCCGCATTCGTCACAGCCCACAACGTCTCGCAGCAAAAAACAGAGCCTCCCGCCAAGGTCTACTCTCCCCAACCGAGACCCCGGACGCTGAATCCGAATAACTACCCTCACCAAACCTACCAGACACACTCACTCACGCCTCAACCGCCTTGACAATGCCCTTCCCCTCACCCGACTCCAACAACCTCTGCACCACCTCCAAATCCTTCAACGCCTCCTCGGGCGTCTGCTCCTTCTCTATCTGTCCCTTCTCAATCGCCTTAGCGAACGCCGCCATCTCCTCCTTAACACCGGTGCTCTTCTCAAACTCCTCCGTCTTCTCACCCTCCTTTGTCTTGGTCTTGATCTGGGTGGGGTTCCAGTAAACGGAGCCTTGGGTCGTGACTACCTCGACCTCGAGTCCGGTCTTGAACTGGGTGCCGAACGAGATGCTGATGGTTCCCGACTTTCCGTCGTTGGTCAAAGCAACGGCGTGCACCGTGTCGACGGGGAGCAGGCGTTCCTCCAGGAGGGCGCTGAAGCCAGCGACGTGGGTGATTTCTTGGTTGAGTTCGGAGAGCAAGAGGCGCAGGCCGGCGATGAAGTGGACACCGCCGTCGAGGAGGAAACCGCCTTGGTAGGAGGGGACTTTGCGCCCTGTTTATTTTGTGTGTTTTCGTCAGTCACCGCCCCCCCTCTTCAAAAACCTAAACCAAAGGGGGAAAGGGGGAGAAAGAAGCCCCCCCAAAAAAAAAACTCACACTCAGTCTTGAAATACTTGTTTCCCTCCTCCACCCACCCATTCATGTTCAATCGGAACGTAGTCAACTTGCCCCCAATCTCCTTCACCTTCTCCGCCGCCTTCAGAAGACTAGGCGTATACCTGAAGTTCTCGGCCACCGCCCACAACGGCTTCTTGTTGTCCAACGCCTCATAAAATCCAACCAACCGCTTCGCCTCCTCCACATCCTTGGCCACCGGCTTCTCGCTCAACACATGTTTGCCGGCTTTAAGCGCCTTCTCGATGACAGCCGGCTGCGCGAGGATAGGCAGGGCGATAACGACGGCGTCGATGTCGGTGCGGGCGAGCAAAGCGTCGAGGGTCTTCTCTTCGGGCCAGACATTGGCTTCGCCGGAGCCGGTGGGCACGTCGTAGTAGACGTCTACGGGAGACGAAGCGGCCGAGGCGAGCGTGTTGGCGGAGGATTCGGAGCGGGAGTAGATGGCTTTGAGGGAGAGGGAGGGAACGGATTCGATTGCGGGGAGGTGTTCTAGTGAGTGGAAGAAGGGGGGGGAGAGGGGTTTGTTAGCTTGGATTCATTTTGTTGGGGGCTGTGTCACATTGTGGCGTGTATAAGTATCATCATCATCATCATCATCGCCGTCGTCGTCGATGGACTTGATATTTGTTATATGGTGTTGCTTGGGATGCCGTGGTAGGTGGTGATGTTGTCATGGTGGTTGGTGAGCACCAACAAAAAAAGTGATGACATCAGTGAGGGGTGAAATTGGGGAAATGCTTGGAAGATGAACTGAACAACGACTTACGCTCCCGGGCAAAAATGCCAGCGCCTAGCAGAGCGATTCCGACCATTTTGACAAAGTAATGACGATGATTACAGCTACACTTCTTTTTGTGTTCGAAGAATTTGATGAATGGGAGAGCGTCGGCGACAATGTTTTTAAAAACAACCCCAGATTCCCAAGAAGATGGATGACTGATGCAGTCAGTGGGTGGTGATGCGGGGCCCCAATTTCAAAGGGTGGGGGTCACTATGTCCGCAATGAATGGGGGACAGTGGACCACGATCCCCACGGGCATACGGAAATAAGGGGGGCTGTCTGGGCCGTTGCGTTTAATGTTGATAATCGGCCCGTATCACCAGTCTCCCGTTTCTATATCCTGATTTCTGTGGTTTCAGCCCCAGATACAGCGGGGTCTCTCGCCTTCTATGTATGGAACTGGCGATAGAGTCCGAAAGAAGTGAAGAACTACTCCGTAGAGTCATCCATGACACACCTAATGTGCGGACGCGGCGCTGTTGCCCCAAGCATTGGGGAAGGGCTCCGGCAAGTTGATTCTCAAATCTTCGACGACACGTATCTAAATTTGTACTCGCGAGTTTCCCGCCGTGTATCCTCGACACGATAACATGTGTTCAAGATGTTGTGTGGCATATCCTCTAAAACTTCGAAAAAGAGAGGAGCACACGATCGTACAAATGATGCCAGTTTCGGCGCCCTTGCAATGAGATACTCGACACACATTCACTAGCAAAACTTCGCCTTCAACTACTATGGTGAACTGGCAATTGTAGAAGTACGTTTATCTATGCTAGATGTGAAGCATGACAACCCAAATCACCGCACCAAGAAGATAAGCTAATAAAACCAGCAACAGCAGCAGCCAGCACTCCATCATCCTACACTGCATCGGCTTTCCCTCTTTTTTCACACGAATGTCACAAAGCCTCGAAGCATGTCAACAACATCAGGGTCCATGGTCGATACCCACTCCGGCTCACCCTCTATCTTTCGGCTCTGGTCTTTGGCCTCATTACTCTCGACAACGTTGGGGGTCTGGGGGCTGCCATGGGCAAGTTCGTGTGGAGAAGGAGCTTCGATGGTGTAAGAAACAGATCGGTCATCGTTCATAGGATCTTTACCTTCCATGGGTACGTCGTCCCAGTCGAGATCAATCACGGTGGCTGACTGGTCGATGTTCCCCGCGGACTGTGGATTGAGCGGAACGAGTTCATCGGTCAAGTTCATGCCAAGTTCGAGAGACCGGCTGGAAGGAGTCTGGTAGAAAACTTGATCCTTCCCGCCAATGCTGAAGGGCGATTTGGCTGTGTGTCTGTTACTTGCTTGCAACATCATGCTATCAAGGAGTGCAAGATTGCCGGCGTTAAATGGGTCATCCCCATAGACCTGGGTTGACAGAGGAAACGCGATGCTCTGATCCGCCATCAGGTCCTGTGATGATGGCGCCGCGGAACCTCTTGTACCTTCAGTTTGTGCTTGAGCGACTCCCCAAGCCTCATTGTGTGAAGACTGGCTCTTAGTGTTGGCGCGTTGCCCCTGGTAGACAGTGGTTGTTGCGGTTGTCTTCCGCTGAACGCCGGCCGCAATATCTTCAAACTCGTCATCATCATAGGAAAGGTCGATGTAGTCAAAATCGACGCCGTCGATGGTTTGCTTCTGCAAGGGCAGTTCCAACTTGGGCTTCTTGTTTACCGGCGCGTAGGGCTTCTCGGATGCCTCCTTCTCTGTTGCGGCGCGTGGGATTGTCTTGTTGGCGGTCGCTTGACTTCCTGTTGATGTCTTGCTCAACGCCTCAAATGACGTTTGGGTCAATACGCTCTGAGACTCGCTCTTCTTATTGCCTTGCTCTGTCTCCTTGCGCTTTTTGTTAGGTCGCTTTCTTGGTTTCTCGAGCCCCTCTTGACAACACTTGTGAGTACAGGGCTTCCCCGATTTCGTAGGTGCTCCTCCACTGCAAGCATGGTTGCACTGCCATCTCCCGTTAGGCAATTGCACAGGCTCACGATCCAGCATCTGGCTGTTCTCCATGTCCCACGAGTCATCAACCTCATTCGCAGCCATATGTCTGTCGAACTTTTGATGCACTGGCTCGCTCGCTTGTGCCACGACTTCCATGAGCTCTTCCACCTCAGGATACTCGTCGGGATCTGATTCTACTTGGCACTTGGCTCCGTGAAGGACAGGAGCACAGGAAGTTGCTTCTTCAGCTGCTTGGAGCAGGTCCGAGTCGTCTATTCCATCATCACCTAGGTATTCTTCGGCTGTTTCCTTCAATAGCCGCTGCGTTTGCCCTCCGTTTGCGGGCGATGTTCTACCCTGCCGAAACTGCTGGGATGGAAAAGCCGCTAGGGGTACCTCGTGCTTCAGAACTTTCGAAACGAGTGTTCCAACGATTTCCTCGCAGCTAAGGTGACAGATGATACGTTCATCAGGACTTTTCAACGGAACAGAAACTGGAAGTACCAGCCCAATCTGTTTGTCGATCTTCCTGAGACTTCCACGCCAAAAGTATAGCAGATTCTCGTTAGAAGACTCGATCATGAAAGTGAGCATCGGACATCTACCCAGCCAGTTAGGGGAGCCGTTCTTGTTGAGATATTTGAGTGTCGTTTGAACGTTGAGTGTTACGTCTTCATTGCGTCTTTTGGGGGTGGTGTATTTGACGACCGACACGTCTAAATCGAGACGAGGGAACTTGTCAAGATCTGCTTTTAGTTTCTTTCCAAACGGTGGCTGTCGGGACATGAGACGCTCGAGTTCAACGCTCTCTTTCTCTGCCAGCTCTAACACTGTCCGAATGCCCTGGCTTGCCAGTTTCCTCATACCAACTGGACCAATGTTGGGAATCTGGGTGAGTTGTGTTGGACGACCTTCCCAAGACTCGGCGGAAAGTGCCCTAGCCAAGTCCAACGCATTCTTTACTCCGGGGGCATCGCGATCAAACCCCTTGCAATCAATAACAGCACGAATAAGACGCTGGAGTCTTTCGAATATCCTCTTCTTTTCCATCATGAGCTGTCGTCTCAGCTTAGCTGCTTCGGCAGAATCTGGATATTGAACACTCCCAAGATGAAGCTGCACAATCAGGGAGATTTTGTGTTGAGTATGCTGGATTTGCTCTTTCACCGGATACGTGATAAGCGGGTTCTTGTTGATCTCGCGGAAGAGTGTTCTTTCAGCGGGTTTTATGCGGAACTCTTTGAACTCCACTGCTTCAGCGAGAGAATTGATCTGCAGTTGAGTTAGCTACTTGCTGTAAAAATGTTTGACAAGACAAACGAACTAAAACCTCAGTGCTGGCAGCACGCGGAATCTTCAATATCAACTTCATCGTCTCAAACTCCACCATGTACTTGGACATTGCACGGCCATACTCTGTACACTTGAACTTCGCGTCCGCAGTCACGAGCTGCGTGTTTTGCAAAAGCTTTATGTCACGCTCGCAAATCTCTTCAAGCTTATCGTCAATCTGAGAAGGATTGGAAATGTCTTCTGTAAGTCGGTAGTGATCAGGGTTTCGTCTGAGACGAACACTCAAGAAGGTCCCACTAAGCCACAGCTTTGCTGAAGAGAGATCTCCGATCGTACCAAGACATATCTCAGAGTTAAGGTGCTCAATGAGGTTGAGATGCAGGGTGCTTTCGAGAATTTCCCGACCTGAGACCATGTTTTCGTAGCGTAATTTGTTCGCAGCACGCGTCAAGATGATAGCGGTAGCGCTGGTATCGAACTGTGGCCGGCCCGCTCGTCCGAGCATCTGCATGATCTCGAGATCCGAGTACTCCTGAAGCTTGTCGTCCATGAAAGCGACAGTTCCTTTCATGACCACCGTATGACATGGGAGATTGACACCAACAGCCAACGTTGATGTGCAACAAATGACGCTCAACTCCCCGTTCAGAAAATGCTGCTCAACAGCAACTCTGTCTTGTACGTCAAGACCCGCGTGATGAAAAGCAACACCGAACCGAACAATCTCCTGCAGCTCGCGGCTGACAACAGGGATTCTCTTTGTTGGAATCGGCCACAGGCTGTTAGTTTCTGGCAACCCCGAAGCATACTCCGCCAGTTTGGTGGCCGTGGACTCGCATGACTTCCTTGTGAAGCAAAAGATCAAAGTCGGTTTCCGTTGATTGTGTTTGGAGAGCAGCGTGGGGAGCTTGCCGTCCAGGAACCTGTCGAAGATGAAGTCATTCCCATTGCATTCGTACCCGTAGACAAACTTCTGCAGCTTAACGGGGCGGAACTCTTCGCCAAAGACCTCACGGTAAGCGGGCAGCTGTTGAGTGGTGTGATTGCGTCCCAACCATTTGGCGATGTCATCTGAGTTGGGAACAGTGGCGCTTAGTGCAACAAAACGAACATTAGCCCCAATCGTCTTCATCCGCGACACCACAGCCTCAAGGGTAGCACCGCGGACATCCTTGAGGATGTGAACTTCGTCGATGAGGAATAACTCGACAAGTTGAAGAAGCCTCCGATGATCCTGCCACTTGCGTGTTATAGAATCCCACTTTTCGGGAGTGGTGACAATGATGGAAGCTTCCCCGACTCGCCTCATTTCAGCTTGAGAGGTGTCGCCGGTTAGCTCAGCACATTTCAAGCCCATATGGCTAAACTTCTTTTCCCAATCCCTAGCCTTCTCAGAACAAAGAGCTTTGGTGGGAGCTTGGTAGACGATCTTGAAGTTTTCGTTACCTCGGTCCAGGGCGAGTTTGCAAATGGCGAGTTCTAAGATGGCTGTTTTGCCGCTTCCTGTCGGAGCAGATATGACCACGTTGTCGGTGGACCCATAGACAAGTCCAAAACATTTTGATTGTACAGCATTGAGCAATTCATAAGGGAAGACTTCCTGAAACCTGCTTGGCAAGGCCTGTCGTACACTCACCAGCCGGATACCGTGAACAATGGGGGTCGACTGAGTAGGATTTGTGAGGGTAGCTTGTGACTGCTGTGATGGCTGAGATATTTCCATAGGCTCTTCGGCCAGATACGACATCTGACGGGCCCGTCTAGAGGCACTATGCTTCTTATGCGCGCTGGCTCGTATGGTGGGACTGGAGCTACTGAGGCTGTGAAGGGTCTCTTTCGTGGACGCTTGACTCGCTGGGCTTTGTGCGTACGAAGCTGCTGGGCAATGTCAGACCGGCCACAAAATATCCATGGGGGAACAAGACCAACCTGAATGCATTGGAGGCGTTGGCTGCTGGTGGGAGCCGTACAGTTCCCTGAGGCGATGATTTGGTTCACGGCTGATGATGTCTAGTGTCCTCGGAGTCGGGATGAGGTGATCATCGGGAACAGGTACTATGCTAGAGGAAGGCAAGCCAGTAGACATGGATTGGGGCATAGTGGCGTCCATATACGAGCTGTATCCGGGGGAGATGTGAGGCCGGGCATGTCTACTAAGATGCGAGAGCGCGATCTGGTATTGTTCGTCATCGCCGGTTTGCGGGGCAGGATGAGCAAGAATATGGTGATCTAATGTATGTTAGACTGAGGGAAAGGCACGGCTCAGACTTCATCCACATACCGAAATCATCTAGTTCATCTGCGTGTGGCTGAGGTGGTTCGGCGTAGTAGCGTGTTGATGGCCCAAGTTCTCCACGGTCGTGTTCGTTGCGATAGCGTACTGGGTAACAGCCTGGGCGAGGAGACATGGCAAGCTCGTCGCGGTCCTCGAGGATCTCTGGTCTGTGTCTGTGCCTTTCTCGCTGTCTTTGGGCTATTCTTTCGCGTGCCGACTCGCGCCAATGTCCCGTCATGGCTACTTCACTTCGCGATCGATTGGGAATCGATGATAGGACAACAGTTTGAAAACTGACTTGAGAGCAACGGAACACGAAGTGGTAACGAGCAATGGAAATTGAGTCTCGATAGATGAACCTCATTTGCGAGTTGAGGTGGGGTTGACTCGAAGAGAATATTGTGCGTGACTGAAGCCCTGGCACAAAACAACAACCGAACGAGGAAGGAGCCTCGAGCACTCACTGGCGTCGCACGATTAAGAGAATTTGAAGGAAACAGAAAGAGCCATATATGCATAAACGGAAAGAGGCAGTGAAAGATGTCCGGAACCAACCGCGGTATGACTACCGATGCGGCGAGGGCCCGACAACGTACCTTCCCTTGCGACACTGATCATGAGGAGCCGTTTGAAATTTACCCCCCGCTCCTTCCGCACTGGATGCCCATCCAGCCCGAACTTGGAATTCGATGGGTGAACTACATGAGCGAGATGACTGACCTCCTTGGCTGGTCCCAAAAAGCATGATCGAGGTCCATTTAGCTTGGCCCATGAGCGACCTGGATCATCTTAGGAGCTTGAAGTGAGAGAAAGGGATATTTGTATACAAAATGTAGTTTAATACTACATGTAAATCGCTTTTCGGATTTTCATTGTTCTTGTTGTGTTGTGTGAACGATGGCATCTCATTTCTCCCATGCCTAGAACAGGAGGAACCTGCCCTGGCCGAACCCGAATCCCATCTTCCATCTTGCAACTCCCCTTTTCCCCTAAGCATCGGTCGTGTATCCAGAGCGCCGGTTCTGCTCGCGCAGATGCATATACAAACCCAAAAAGCTCATGTCCTGGTATCTCTCATACGCTCATGCCATCATAACGCAGCCTCTGTCAATTCCAAGTTCCCAAAAAGGGACGTATGTAGTGATAGTAGACTACTTAAAGTCTCACAGCAGCCATTCCTAGCAGCCTGTGCACGTCGGTTTCTTTTCGTTTTTTTTTTCTTTGTCTTTGTTTTGGGTGAACGAACACTTTCTCCACTTTGAAGCCGTTCCCCGGAGTCTACCCACCGTGGGTTGCCCCCATGTTCAATCATTTGTTCGCTCGTGTGCCGTCTTTACGTTCACTCGTCCAACAACTTGCCCCTAGACGATGGTGTGCGGGCTAATGGTGATGGCGAGGAGGGTCTTGAAGTTGCCCTGGCGGAATCCATTGGGTTGACATTCAGTAGGTTCTGGTCCAACAATCTCGGAGTATGATCGATCGAGATCTTTTCGTAGTCCACAATGTTAATGGGAGGCGGTCGCGACCGCTTCCTGTCGGGTGTGCTGTAGAGATAGGTAGATCCAATCACAAGGGCAGTGCCAATGATGAACTGCAGAGACGAGGGAGTTAGCGAACGGCCGTCGGAGACGTTGACGGGAGAGAAACATACCGAAGAGGTCATGTCAAAGTTAAAGAAGAAGACGCTGAACACGCAGCTAATAACAATGCTGATGCTGGTAGCGAAGTTCTTTGCGATGTTGTCGGCGTAGTTGATGCAGATGGAGGATAGCAACCCTCCCACTGCCTGAAAGACAATGGCAGTCCAAACGATGCTGTTGTACCCATCGAAAAACCCGTGCTTCGCAATCTCCTCGCCGTCGTTGTAAATGACCCCGACAAAGAGGGCGGGGAAAAGTGAATAGAAGGAGAGTTGGATGTTGCGAGTCCACACTGACACGTTGGTGGAGGAATCCTTGAGCACCTTCTCAAAGTAAACACCCGTCACGCCTGATACAACAGCAGCAACCAGGCAGGCTGTCAATCCAGCGGAGTAGTTCATCACCAGGCGGCCGCCGTCTTGATCCTCCTTGATGCCCTCGTATGTTGCCGAGCGCTTGGTGAGCTCCGTAGCCAAGCCTTCCATACCCCTCTTTGTCAATTCGCGCGCCACATCAAAGGTCGCGCCAGCGGCTTGGCCTAGCTCGTGGACGGATCGGGGGAAGAAGTGATCGCTAAAGTCGTGGATCGTCAAAGAGTTGTCATTCGACGAAGGGAGGGAGACGATGGAAACGCCGAAGGTGAGTACGACGAGGGATAGCCAGCGCTTGATACCCAGTGTGCGGCCGAGCATGACGACGCTGAAGAAAGCGGTAGTGATAATCTAAACAGTGTCAGTTTCCGCCCCCTCCAACGTGTTCTTAACCCAACGCATCAGGGCGCATACCTTGAGTTGAAAGAGAATCTGGAAGTGGACGGGATCCAAATTCCCCAAAGCTACGTATTGCAACGTGTTCTCGAGTGTGTACAGCACGGCGGGGATAGCCAGCTTCCATCCATCTCCAGCAAAGACCGAGTTGTAGATTTGTTCCAGGATAACCGTCAAGGGAGTTTGCGGGGCTAGGGTATTCGAGACCTCGTAGATGGAGCAGGTTAAAGAGATCGCGAGCTTAATAACTTCGTTGAGCAGGACGGCAGTCGAGGCAAAGTATCGATGGTCGCCGGGTGGTGTCATGATTCGCGAGTAGTGCATTATCTGTTCGGCCGTGATGTTAGTTGACGATACCGCGACTGATAGCATCCACGCCAGCTTGGCCAGCAAGGTACACATACCAGTATAAGTGCCGAGTTTTGGAATGTCAACTACACCACACGTTCGGTCACGTTAGTAAATCTCCCGCCTTTTGACAACGAAGTTGAGCAGGCCTCCTACGGTGATCAATGAAACCTGCTTCATAGAAAGGCCGAACAGGGTTGGACCGCTCGCGGCGAGCGCGGGCGGGGCAGTGGACGGAGCCATGATGGAGGTGAGGTGGTTCGAAGACAGCGACAGCGACCTCTCGTCAGTTGCAAGTGTGCTCTTTGGTGGTACTACTCGTGCTTCGATGGATAGACGTGCCGGTTGTATATGAAGAAAAAAAATAAGAAGAAAAAAGAGGACGTAGTGGCAGAGAGTGTGCGCGAGGAGCGGGCGACGGCCTGTGGGCGTCTGGCCTTCTTGAGGCTCCCCCGGGGTGGTTAGGTAGTCAAGGGTGGTTGGATCTTTTGGCGATGCTGTTGGTTGGTTTGGGACCCCAAGTGGGAATACCGACGTCACGGGCACGAAAAAAAGAAAAGTTGCAGCTGGAGAAGCCAAAGAGATGGCCAGCCATGGAACTTAATACATTCCCGGCAGCAGTGGATGGTCGCGCTCGCAACCTTATACCCCTGGAGAACCCTGGGCTGCCCTGGCACTCTTGGGTCTGGCAGCTCTTGCCCCGTCTGAAGCATGGAGATGGAAACCTAAGTCTCAAGCAACCTAACACTGCTGCCCTGCGAAGGAACTCGATCAGGCGCATGAAAGGTTGCCCTGCAACCTCGTCAAGTAGGTCCTGTCCTACTTTGCACACCCACAACACCACAGCTTGTGTTTGGCTGCAGTCGAAATTTGCTCTTGGCTTGGTACTGGAGGAGAGCGAGGATGAATGGTTGCGCTGTGCAGCGTCGTGACAAGTGTTGACGTAGGTATCTAGACTTGGCGTTTACCTAGAGGTATTTCGCATTCTCTCGCTGCTTGGCTGTTCACGGACACCAACGACCAACAACGGCTGTTTTTGTCGACACTCTCGTCTATACGAACACGCTTTGGTATAAAAACACATCTGAAAGTCGACTACTTTTTTTGGGTGTAAGAATCGTTCAAGTTGGTTGCCCCTGCCCGTAATGGTGGCTGGTTGGAAGAATGCCCATGGTGTCCCTGACACAGCAGGAGCTCTCCCAAAATTCACAGCGGGGCCATTCTGCAGTACACCTGTGGTGGATCTGAAACCTAGGCCGGAACCATTTTACTTCCATTCTCAAACAAATGGATATCACAGGTCACATCATCTCCATGAAACGTACGCTACTCAAGAGCCAAGATGCCTGATCCAGAATCTAAGCAACTGATCAAGTTGATGTTTCAGTTGCACGTTTTTTTGGTGTTTGTCCCATAAGGAACCTCAAGGTTTTTTTTTCCCCGGGCCAGCTTTCAACCCAGTCGCCAGGAACATTTCACTGCCCACCGCCTTTGGTACGTACCTTGCGGAGACACTCCACCCATTCAGGTGTGTTCCCCACAGTGGAAGCAATGCGCAGGGGCAAGCGCATCTCCAATCGAACTCCAAAAAGCACATCCACATCACACAATTGAATAATGTAAACGACAAGAACGGACATGTCAAGTTGACAATCTGACAATATGAGAGGCTGCCATCTCCTACGATCTGTTTTGTGGCTGGCATTCATGACCTCACTCGCCAACGCTGTGTAACTACACACTTTCCAACTTTCACAAGCTCTTTCTCGAACAACTTCCAACAGTTGACTGAACACCTAACGTGAAAACTAGAGGTCGGAAATCACAATCCTGGAGACTGGAGCAAGAAAAAGTCGTCGGCTCGCCAGCCGGCCGCTAAACAATAAACTGAATCGAGCACTCGGGCCTCCCCCGCATTTCTCTCGATTCTAGATCCAGTGATTGGACATTCTTCCCCGCAGCATCTGCAAGCTTAGATCGCTTGACCTGCTTTGGTATCCCCTTGGCAAATCGGTTCCAGCTGAGCATGTTCATCCTCAACACAAAACTGCGATCAAGTGAGTGAGCACAGTCAACAGAACGGAACAGAACGGAAAGCCGGCAATATCTCCAAGATTGGGCTGCGAGCTCAGATTGCCTTGTTACACTTGTTGCTTCTTGCTTGCTGCACCTCGATGCCGGTGTCCCGGCTTCGAACTCATATGTGCGCCGGCGCGCGCGACTGTCCCGGACCGAGATAATTTCCACTTCTGCGATTAAAATCCGGAGCCGCGACCAAATCCACATTTCCCGGTGTCCGGGGGATCCACTTCGGTTACTTCCTCCGGCCCGTTTTACTTATGATACCGTGCACCGCAAAGACTCGAGTTATCCAAAGAATCCAGACTTCGGAGGAACATATTGTTCTCTTCGGCTACATTCTCTAGAATGTTCCCAACTCCGAGGCTGGGTCGCTAACTCTGATTTCTTGAAGTCGGCAGATCCTGTAGCCAAAAACATAAGATTCGCGCTTCTACGATGAACGCGGAGGTATCCATGGGGAAATTTGATGTGCAGTCGAGAGTGACCTCGACGCCGCCTGCTCCTCTATCATCTATGTCTGCGCAGAGCAACAATGGTATGCCGATGCCTATTGGTAAGCAAAGGGGGTTGAGTAGAACAATGAGTATGACGCCAGTGCCAGAGGAACGCAGTGCCATTTTCATGTTGTTAATGACAGGTATCGATGTTTGCTGCTTGTGAAGTCGTTTAGAGGGTTCATGAAGAGGAAATGAAAAGACGCTACAGAATTGGTCTTTTGATCTATATGCTCTTTGTCTTACCAAAACTTAGTATCTACAACTGGTCCGATGGTGTAGTTGGTTATCACGTCAGTCTAACACACTGAAGGTCCCCAGATCGAGCCTGGGTCGGATCATGACCACATTGTTTTTTTTGTTTTTTTCAAATTTCCACCATAGTTCCACCTCTCTTTGTTCTACTTTTTCTTTCTCTGCAACAAAGGATGCACCAATTGTATTGGCAACTAATATTTCCACTCATTGTCTAGTTCTCTCTATATTGCAAGGTTTTAGTCATATGACAGTTGTATGTATTTGAAGCGATGCTTTGGGTTCAGAGATCCGTCTTCCATTTCTTTTGTTCTGTGACATATGCAACTTCGATAACCAAACCTTCGTCCATTGCGACACAATCGCCATGCCATGTCACTTATAATGCGCCAAACGATCCTTCAGGTTCTGACGAGTAGTTATGACAAAACACGATAATCGCAGCTTCCTAGCAGCGCACCTCGGTTTGGAAAAAGGACAAGCGACACAAGCAGAGAAGTTCCGGTTAGCAATGAGAGGATTGAACTGCAGGAGTTTTTCATTAACACCGTGACGTGCAAGAAGAGAAAAGGCGAGAAACATTCGGACAATAAACAGTACGCAGGGGGTATTGGAAAAGTGCAAGCAAGATACACACAGCTTGAAGTCTCGAAGCAATAGCTTTGGGCATAATTCCATCTTCAACCACGCAACCGAAGCATCGGTCTCCAGTCCAAGTATTCTCGCATCGTTCAGCGACTTGGATGCACTCACAAAAAAATCGAACGCACTTGTACCGTACGAACATCATGGACGCGCAAAAACAGCGAGGAACAAGATATTCTACAGAGGAAGGGGTAAAAGTCGCAAAAAATGTGGACGAGCTGGGAATCGAACCCAGGACCTTTCGCATACAAGAGACAATCTTAGATAAGAATGTTATAAGTATGCTAAGCGAACGCTCTACCAACTGAGCCACACGCCCTTGTGATTGGTTGTTGTTAACATTTTCTTATGTTTGGCTTATACACGATGTGAAAAAAAACCATTGATGCGAGTTCTACCATTGTGCAGACAACGACGACGTGGGCTTCTAGGTGATGTTATGCATTGAAACTACGCATCTTCGTGAAGACATTAGTCGCCTAAATAGTTATTCATTCTAAAGGTACAACCGTAGGGGCACAAGGAAAATCTGTAGTAGTTCAGTGTCTCCAGAGGATCCCGACATTCAGTTATTGGCTTGACATCATCGTTCAGCGGTCAGCTATGTATCGTTAAACAACAATACAATGAAACGGGCTATACTCTTTGTGTTACTGGAGCATAAAGCAGAAGCGGTCTCCTTTCAGGAAGAAGAAAGATGAATAATGAAAGGAGAGAGGCAGCAGAGGGCCAGACAATGCAACAACTGGTTAACAAACGCTTCTATGTCCCGGCGATGGCTTTGCGAGCTGCTGACATTGAACTTGAAGAAGCAGAATTTCAGTTATATCAGCTCCTAGAACCACAATATATAGCATGGCGAGCAATTTGATACTTTTGTTCAGCGTTCATTAACCAGTGTCGCGATTCGCAAGCAGTTCCAAGTTCAGGTCGACGCTCAACGCTCTACACACGAGCGAAGACACATTTCTGAAGACAAGAAATTATTTTCCTCATATTCTCTCCCGTAACTAAGGGATTTCGGCGACGTAAGTCCAACAACACACTCGCCCAATACCTATGAACCTACAACAACAAAATGTGCTGGACAATCTTTCAAGGCTCCATCAACCACGCCTGCTCTCACATCACGACCTACCCTTCCTTCACACAAGCAGTCAACGTCCGACCAGGGGACTGCAATTGCCATTACACGGTGACGGAACACGGGGGACCCTCTGGCATGCCGTGCCAATGGTGTATTGGACTTGGGAGATGGAGGTATAGTAGGGGATATGTTATGTGGAGGCCTACAAAGCGTAGATGTAGTTGATGAGGTTGAGGCTGTGTATCTCTAACCAAGTTGAAGGGGGAAAACCAAGATACAGCTTGAGTCATGATCCTGGCGCCAATGAGCGCCATCCAGTTGGCAATGTTCAATTCTTTTGAGCGAGATGTTGAGAAGGCTAGGAAGGGAAGCTGGAATGTGGTTGTTCCGACTTTTCTTCTGATGTTGTTGTGGTATGGAATGTGCCCTCCAAATTTTTCCATTTCGTTTTCCAAAACCACCTAGACTGTAACCGATATTGTTTACTAAAGATGGTGAAATTGATGTACAATCCGTCGTATTCGGCAATACCATCGCGGCTCTTCATAAAGAGCACATGCGTCCTCTACAGTGGATGGAAACTCCCACAATACCCTTGGCTGAATTTCGCGTTCCCCTTATTCGCTTATTCCGCGTCACAACGGAATTCCCTGCAAAACTGTATGTTTGCTCCAGGAACCCGATTTCCTGGGGCAAAGGATCTGATGTTACACCTTCCCCACGATGAGCGGGGTTAATCCGCAAGCTTTCAACATGCAACGATGACAACGACTTTCCGAATATTGCGAGACTACCCAGCTTCAACCCCGCGACTCAGCGCTGGGGCCGAATTCGTGTTCCGATCCTGAAATGAGGTAACACAACCCCCGCTTGCCGTTGTACAAGCGCCAATGCAGGAACCGTGTGATCCAGGTATAGAATACGCGCCATGAGAAATCCCATTGGATTTTGCGATATTCATGGATTCTGGACCATCATCGGAATCAGGGCAGGCAAGTACATGGGTACGCGCATGAACTTCTCGATGATCGCCGCCGGGATTTAATCTTCAGACATGCGTGCCGATTTGATGTTGATCGCGCAACAGCGCCATACCTCCCGCTTCGGCGCTGACTTTGAATGAGGATGGAGGAGAAGCTCATAAGTCGGGATCCTAACTTCAAGGAAGCTTCGGTCAAGTTGCTCATCTGAGTCGACTTGAGTATCATACGCCAAAGCCACGAAAGGAAGGGAAACACACTGGAACCAAGACCACGTTAAACTCACCACGAGACCATCCATGTCCGTTAGACCGACCGAAAGCCGGGTGTAGCACCTAATCCGGCATTGGGAATCGCCTTCTCCTTGTCGTTCGTTGGTCACAGTGTCGTGGAGTCACCAACAGACCGCGCGCAATTTCCATCACGGGTTCCCATCCACGAACAAAAAAATAAAAAAAATAAATAAAGATAAAAAGAAAAAAAAAAAGAGAAAAAAAAGCATCGTGACATGCACGAGATGAAAAGCCAAGAAAGCACAAACAAGCCCGCACCGAGCAAGGGAGAAAAAAAAAGATGCAACAACACACGTACCTGATTTGAGTGCAAGCTCCTTTCTCTCCTCTCTGAGCAGGTGATAAACAACCAAGCCAAAAAGGAAGCATACGCAATATTTGTCGACCGCATTCTCGCCAGGAAGAAACTTTGAGCTATGTACGTCAAGCAAAGTAGGTCTGGAGTCGGTCTCCATTGGATGAGTAGGCCGGGCATCGGAATGTGTGAACCTGTAGCGGGTGTTGATGTGTCTCACCCCTGTCATCACTTAAGTCCGCCGCCGACCCCTGTCCCCATTCATAGGGTACTCCCTTGTCACTAATCTTAACTCCCTTCTTTATTCCCCATTAGCACCAATGAGTCTTTTCGGGAATAGCTTTCCTTCGGGCTTCATGGCTTGGGATGGCTTGTGACTGCACTGGCTGGCCTATCCCTGGCTAAATGACAGGCGAATGGATCTCGAAATTTCGAGTGTCGCGTGGTAGTGTAGTGTAGATGATGAAAGTGACTTACCTTGCTTGCGCACCGAGTACTATCGATGAATGAGAGAGATGTGAAATAAGCAAAGGTATCGGATGCGATTGATTGAATACCCTTGGGAAGGGATACAGAGAGGCCTTGGCCTCTGAAAGCTGAACAACAACAAACACGTGAAGAGAGTTGCATGCGAATTGCTTTTCCTCCTTCTTTTTTCCCCCGAGAGGATGTGAACATGCAGGGGTGGTTGAAGGTGATCGACAATCGCGCACACCATCACAGGCTAAGTGCCTAAGGTGTGGTGGACGGGACCTGCATTCATTGTCACCATGCCACAATCTGAGGTGGTCTTGTTAGGCATGGAGCTGAGATTTGTATATCATATCTCTGCTCCGTTACCACGGCGACTGCCCTGCCATTGGAAATCCGGCCTATGCGATGCTCCATGCCCATGCCCTCATCGTCTTGAATTCCACACTTCGACAATCCGCGTTTCCGAGATCGAACATTGCTGGGCCTTCCTTCCCCATGGGCAAACCACGCGCATCAGTAACCCGCTAAATCTCCTTTAAAGCCATGTGAGATCCGCCGCCCCTTCCCCCGTTTTGATGAAGAGCATCCTGAGATCGTCTTCTTGTCTTTACCAGGAGTAAGGGCATCGTTTCTTCATGCTGACCAGATAGTTCCCTCAACGCATCCAGTCACTCTTTGCACACTTCTTCAGGATGCGCAGCCACTCGTTCTTTCCCGCCCTGATAGGGCTTCTCCCTCTAGTTCCAGGTTCGGGTGTAGCTGCCTCGCCCTGCCGCCCGCACGGTCCCCACAACGGCGGCGTAAGCCATGCCCATGGTCCCGGAGGCGGCTCTCACAATGGAGCTGGCAATGGCGGTGGCCATGGTGCTGGCCATGGTGGTGGTGGTCACGGCGGACCCCCTGGTTATCCCCCGTTTCACGGCAACGGTACCCACGGTGGTTTTCCTCCGTATAATGGCAACGGCAGCTCACCCATAACCACCACCACTACCACCACCACCACCACCACCGACATCTCTACCACCACCGACGTCACTACCACCACCGGCACCACCACCACCAACCCGACCACCACAACTGCCACCACCACGTCTACTGCCAGCCCGACTGCTTGCAGCGACTACTGGCTCGAAAACATTGCTCACCAGGGCCTTGCTCCCTATGCCATTCCGGGCTATAGTGTCTTCCGTAGCGTCAGAGACTTTGGCGCCAGGGGCGATGGCATTAACGATGACACCGACGCCATCAACGCCGCCATCAGCTCCGGTAACCGGTGCGGCCCGGGATGCGATGGTTCCACCACGAGCCCAGCTCTCGTCTACTTCCCGCCTGGCACGTACCTCGTGTCCCGTCCCATCATCGACTACTACTACACCCAGATCATCGGCAACGCGCGATGCCCGCCCACGATCAAGGCCAGCGGCAACTTCACCGCTAACTGGGTCATTGACAGCAACCCATACCAGAGCAATGGTAACCTAGCCTGGGGCTCCACCAACGTCTTCTGGCGCCAGATTTCCAACTTCATCATCGACATGACCGCTGCGCCACCGCCCACGGATCCTAACGCCCCAGGACTGGCAGGTATTCACTGGCCTTCCTCGCAGGCCACTTCTCTTTCCAACATCGAGTTCAGGATGTCTCGGGACATTGCTACAACGCAGCAGGGCATCTTTATCGAGTCGGGATCGGGTGGTTACCTCGGTAACCTGACCTTCAACGGTGGTCGCTATGGTCTCCAAGTTGGTAACCAGCAGTTCACCATGCGCAACCTGGTGTTCAACAATGTGCAGACTGCCATTCGGCAGATCTGGTCCTGGGGTTGGACGTACCAAGGCATTAGCATCAACAACTGCGGCGTTGGCTTTGACTTTACCTCAATCAGCAACGATCCCGAATCCTTGGGTCAATACCAGGTCGGTTCCATCACCATCCTCGACAGCTCTATCAGCAACACGCCTACCGGCATCCTGATTGGCAATGCCAACGGCGCGGACACGCGGTCCGTCAACAACTTTATCTTCGAGAACATCGTGCTCAACAACGTGCCTATCGCCATCCGCGATCTGAACAACGGCGGCATCGACCTTGCCGGCACGCCCGTCAACACGGTCATCCGCGCCTGGGGCAGGGGCAACGAGTACAACACGGCCACCGCCCAGAACAACACTCCCGGCACTCCCATCGCAGGCACATTCACTCCCTTTCCGCGTCCTGCCAGTCTGCTAACTCCCGACGGCCGCTACTACGCCCGCTCCAAGCCTCTCTACTCTGACCTGCCGGCCTCCGCCTTCCTAAGTGCGCGCTCCTTCGGCGCCGTCGGTAACGGCCAGACAGACGATACCGACGCACTCAACCAGCTTTTCACCGCCGCGGCCAAACAGGGCAAGGTCGCCTACATTGACCACGGGCAGTACATCGTGACGAGCACCGTCTTCATCCCGCCAGGCACCCGCATCACGGGCGAGTCGTACCCACAGATCGTCTCAGCTGGTCCAATTTTCAACAACATGGCCAACCCCCAGCCTGTCGTGCAAATCGGTATTGCAGGTCAGCCGGGCAGCATCGAATGGTCTGACACCATCGTATCCACGCGCGGACGGCAGGCTGGCGCGATCGGTATTCAGTACAACCTCGCCAGCGCCGGTTCCGAGCAACCTTCGGGCATGTGGGACGTGCACGTCCGCATCGGCGGGTTCATGGGGTCCAATTTGCAGCGGGAGCAGTGCGCCAAGACCCCCACGATTAACGCCAATCCTCCTGGCAACGTTAAACCGAACTGCATCGCCGCGTTCATGAGCATGCACATCACCGCCCTGTCGTCCGGTCTTTACATGGAGAACTGCTGGTTGTGGGTGGCGGACCACGACATCGAGGATGAAGCCGACAACTCGCAGATTACCGTCTACGCCGGCCGCGGCCTGTTGATCGAGTCCCTCGCCGGCCAGATCTGGTTGGTCGGCACCGGCGTCGAGCATCATCAGATGTACGAGTACCAGCTTTATAACACGAACGACATCGAGATGGGCCAGATCCAGACCGAAACGGCGTACTACCAGCCCAACCCGGATGCGCGGTTCCCGTTCCCTCTCGATGAGCGGTTCCATGATCCTTTGTTTGGACCCGGCGAGGATGGCTGGGGTCTGAGAATCGTGGATAGCGAGGGTGTTAGAGTGTATGGTGCGGGCTTGTACAGCTTCTTTAACAACTATGATCAGTCGGCGTGCATCGACGGTAAAAACTGCCAGAGGAACATGTTTTCGCTGGAGGGGACGAATGATGTCTCGGTGTATAATCTGAACACGGTGGGCACGACGTATATGGCGACGGTGGATGGGATGGATATCATCCCGGCGGCGGATAACGACGGCATGTTTGTTGATTCTGTTGCGTATGTCCACACCGCTTCCGCTTGAAAGAGTTGGACTTGAGAGGGTTTAGGAGGGACGGATTGAAGTTGGGTATTCATTTCGAGAGTTGTTTGTTGGTTAGATTACTGCTGGCCCAAGGGTTATGAAGTGATGACTAGCTACTTTACTATAACGAATGTCAGTCTTTGGAATTCTTGAATCTTTGTGATGCTGTCTTTTCACTTTTTCGTGATATGGACCTGCCTGGGATAAGTGGACTGCAATATGGCTGTAAATTGTGATTGATCCTAGTTGAACGGCTAGGAGGGGAACAGCTAAGAGGAAGAAAGTTACGTGTATCAAGGCCGCAAGCGACAAGATCAAGGAGATTGTGGTTTGACCATGTCGGGTTGTATTTTTCGTGCGCATTGATGGGCCGTGGCCAACGCAAAGAGTGACGGCTGGTTAAGTATGCATATCCCCTAACAACATGTATTCGAAGAATGAGATGTTGCTGAGATGAGGATGGTTGCAACCCGTAGGATGTATTTCCATCGGTCATGGCGTCTTCCGTCACGAGCCCTCAAATGCAACTCAATTTCAGCCATGGTGGACTTCGCAACCGCCCTGTATAATCTCGAGTGCTGACGCATCGGGGCACCTGGAATGTTGGGGTTCGAGTCGGACCTCGATGTCCTTCGTAGTATGCGTGATCATCCCTCTCGACGGTGGTTTGGGCAGACCAGATTTGGCCTCTGCGATTTCCGAACTATGATTGTAAAGTGATCAGATTGATGACCAGCATGATCACTCAACACTTGACGAGATGGTTATCGGGCATTGTAATTTGACGGATGAACCATTTTGTGGCGGTGAAAAGAGGGTGGGCAAGGAAGCTGAGGGAATTGGAGAACTTGGAGGAGGAGGAGGAAAGAGTGCCGTTGTGAGGTTGAAGGAAGCGGAGGTGATTGATGAGAACAGTTAAGTGGAGCCTCTATGTCACTATCGGGTACATCTGATTGGACAAGGCACATGGTACAAGGATACCTTCAAAACAACGACAGCATTTGTTGCATCTTCGCGACGACATCTTTTTGGGGATTTCTTAACTCCGGCATATGCGCACAAGTGATAACCGCACAAATGGTTGCAAGGACTCGTCAAAAACTTTGCAGCTTTGTGGTCTCGAGGAACAACCACCTTTTTTTTTAATTGATTATTTGACCGCTGTCCGCGAGCTTTGCACTCCAGGAAGCAAACAAGCAAACAGGAGCGCGTTGCCTTTTTGTTGGTCCGTGCCAATACCTTTTACATACCCTCTCCCAGAGAGGCGCCTGTCAAAACTATTTTTACACAAGCTGACCCAGACGACCAGAATACTTTTGAATTTTTGACCAGCTCTATTGGAGGGCAAGTGTTCTGAATCTGACGGCGCTTCGGGGATACTTGACCATTACATACAATGCCGCCGCCGCTATCGCAGAGGTCCGATGAGAACTCCTCCGAAGATGAGGTCTCGGATCCGGGGTCCCTTGAGGCCGTTCCAGAATCTGACTCTCTCCAGAAGCTACGGGAAAGTGCAATGGATGTCCTAGCCTCACGCCTGACTTCTCAGTATACTGGAACGACTGGGAATCACGTCACAGGCAAGCTCATTAACAACGTTAAAAGAGCGCCGGCGGATGACTTTGCAAATGATCACGTCGCAAAGTATCCCAAGCTTGATCAAGAAGAAGAAGAGTCTGATGAAGAAGAGGAAGATTCTAGTTCTGAGGAGGATGAAGAGGACGAGGACGACGACGAAGAGGGCCAAGGTAAGCATCCCGTTATCTGGTTCGCGGAGCCTTGAGATCCTGGTCTAACCAAGTGACATCTGAAATAGGAAGTGGTGCTTACCCTAACCATTCCGCGCCAGGGCGATTTATTGTGTCAGAAGACGTCTCCCCTTGGACACCTCGTTGTCCCTCAGCAGATAAACTCCCTTTACATCCAGATCTTGTGGGCATGAGTGAGTTACAACTCCTACCCATGTTATCAACTTACTGACGTGTAACGCCAGCGCCTGTCGACTTATTTCAGCACGCTCTACCAAATTTTCAGTTGCCCCATCACCTTGCTCCAATCGCTCGACATCTAGCTGAGCGTCCCATAAAACGAATGCCAATTCTTGGAAAACCTTTTGTGGACAATAAACCCGACAATTTCAGCGCCTACTTCCTTCAAGCGACAGGCCATCTGCTGCCAGACGAGCAGGCTTGCGCACGCTGCAGAGGAGTCAAAATCAAAAAGCGTTATGTGGGCGGGACCTTTGTTGGTTGTGTGGCATTTGCAGACTCAGAAGATGCTAAACTAACGGGTGGTGCTTGTGCCAACTGCTGGTATGGGCGTCAGGGTTCCTTGTGCAGTTTCCGCAACCCAGCCGGCAAGCGTAAGGAACGGTTAGGTGCGGCGCGATATAATCCCTTGCTCATCTCCCCACCACCACCACCACCACCACCACCAGCAGCAGCAGAAGGACAACCGATGGAGCATGGGCAGCAGCTTGAGAATACTGGTCAAGTGCATCCGGCATTCCTGGCGTCCGTCTCATCCGTTTCTCCGGCTTACACACCTTTTCCGGACTACTACCCCCACATGGAGGCCCAAATTGCCCAGCAGAATAACGGCGAACCCCCGAGCCTATTACGCCCAGATAGCAGTCCTAGTGTGAACAAAGTTACGGCCTGGGAGACGAGATATAGAAGGATGTCGACGGATAAACTCAGGGCTACTCATGGGAACTTGGTCGAGTGGCAGGAAGACTTGAACACGCGATTGCTCGCCATGAACAAGGTCTTGCTGGACAGGTTGGAGAGGAGAGAGAGTAGTCATACGAGTTAGTGTATGTATCCCGCCCTCGAACTAAAAAAGCTCGCTCTTAGTTAATTGTGGTGCTCGATACACAACTGGAAAGAGCAAGGTCTGACAAATAGTCAAAGGCCAGAACACCCGGTCATGTATTATGTCAATGTTGAACCCTCAACGTGGACAAAGAAAAGGTTTGGGAAAGTTGTTTAAACTTGGGATGAGAATGATGGGGGGGAACTGTCATGGTCAGCAATTGGCCAATCACATGTCTGATATAGCAGAGTCACAGCCGCCAGTTCATGCAACTCCACCTCCAGTACCGAAGACGTGGGTCCCTTACGCACCTTGGTGGGTGTGGACGTGCTCAGGGTTGTCTACACTATTTTTATTGTTAGGGCGGTATGTACCTATTCTTGGGGTTGAGGCGGGGAAAGGAAAACAGAGGCATGTATCTACATAACGCAATGGCTCATCTCGCTGAAGGAGAGGGTGACTGGGGCATTGGAAGAGAATTCAGTTCCTTTAGCAACATTGTTTCAATGCGATTTCTGAGAAACGCCGCTCACAGACTTGGACTCGACATGATTCCACTTGTCAACGGCTGTTGCGCACTTCATTTTGCATCACCTCACTCCTTGCGCCATCCCAACACCACACACCATGCACTAACATATGATGATGTGCTTCAGCTCAGCCCTGACAGTGGACATGGGACGGGACGAGTCAACTTAAACTGTCCAGCGATGTGAGTCAGGGCAAGGTGGGTTGCCCGCCTCCGATAAGAAATAACCCCGCTGCGATTGCCCACTTGCACTTGCACTTCCTGTTCCTGCGGGACCTGACCGAGCGCCTGAAGCGCGCAAAGGAAGAACCCCACCCCCGCAACTAGGTGAAATCTTTTGCAAGGGAAGTGGGCGAGGCCCTTTTCTAGGCTTTAAGCCGGTCCGCCCACCGCGCCATTTCTCTTTCCCGCTCGTCTTTTCGGTTTCGTCGTTTGAACTCCGTTCCGTACCTTGAGGGCGACCTAAAGGTGCTAATACTATCATACCACTTCTTTCGATACAGCTTCTGTTTGTTTATCCCTAATCAATCCATCAAGATGGCCACTCTCATTCTTGGTTCCCAGTGGGGGTAAGTGAATCCACTTCTTTGCCGAGTTGCTCAAGTCCGGGACCCGGCACGTATCGGAGATAGTAGCTGACCGTTTGGTGTTGTTGTTCTGTTATAGTGACGAGGGTAAAGGTACGATACAAACATGGCAATACAGCCACACATTACACACACGTAGAATACACGCCCTCAATTTCAAAAATACACAACCGATATACCTCCCTGCGACACAATATGCACAGCGACTGACTTACCCGACGTACAGGAAAGCTTACCGACATCCTCTGCCCCAAGGCCCAGATCTGCGCCAGAGCCGCTGGCGGCCACAACGCTGGTCACTCCATCGGTACGTGTACCTTGATGGCTTCAAGTCCCGGATGCGCCTCGATGCCCCAGGGTCACAATGTACGCCAACAGGAAAGATAACTGACATTGCTGCCGTGCCACAGTCGCCAATGGCGTCGAGTACGACTTCCACCTTCTCCCTTCCGGTCTCGTCAACCCTAACTGCATGAACCTCATCGGTTCCTCTGTCGTCTTCCACGTCCCCAGCTTCTTCAGCGAGCTCAGCAAGCTTGAGGAGAAGGGCCTCACCGATGTTCACAACCGTATCCTCGTCTCCGACCGCTGCCACGTCAACTTTGACCTTCACGCTGCCGTTGATGGTCTCGAGGAGGTTGAGCTCGGTGACCGCAAGATCGGCACCACCGGCCGTGGTATCGGTCCCTCTTACAGCACCAAGATGGCGGTATGGTAACCCGAAAGACACTACAACCAGAATAGAGGCGCTGACAAGACCATGTCTCATACAGAGAAGCGGTGTCAGAATCCACGAGATCTTCAACGAAGAGATCTTTGAGCGCAAGCTCAGGCAACTCGCTGCCGGCTACAAGAAGAGATTTGGTGATCTCCTCAAGTACGATGTCGAGGAGGAGATTGCCCGCTTCAAGGAGTACCGTGTCAAGCTCGCCCGCTATACTGTCGATGCCATCCAGTACATGAAGGAGGCCCAGGACCGCGGCTACAAGATCCTCATCGAGGGTGCCAACGCCCTCATGCTGGATATTGACTACGGCACCTACCCCTATGTCACTTCCAGCAACACCGGTCTTGGTGGTATCATCACTGGTCTTGCCATCAACCCTACCAAGATTGACAACATCATTGGTGTCGTCAAGGCCTACGTGAGTTTCTTTTTCTTTTCACGCCTTTGAAGCCCTTCAGGATATGACGTCATGATCAGGTTTGCTAACCGACGTTTCCGTGACAATAGACCACTCGTGTCGGTGGTGGTCCCTTCAAGACTGAGGACCTCGAGGAGGCTGGTACCAAGCTCCAAGAGATTGGTCGCGAGTGGGGTGTCAGCACTGGTCGCAAGCGTCGTTGCGGCTGGCTCGATCTCGTCGTCCTCAAGTACTCGACCGCCATCAACAACTATACCGCCCTCAACCTTACCAAGCTCGATATCCTCGACACTTTCGAGACCATCAAGGTTGCCGTCGCTTACAAGGACCCTCAGACCGGTGAGGAGGTCGAGTACTTCCCTGCCGATCTCGACATCCTCGACAGCCTTGAGGTTGTCTACAAGGAGCTTCCCGGCTGGAACAAGCCCATCACTGACTGCAAGACCTACGTGAGTTTTTACCGACTTGGGTCTTTTATTACCGTCTTTGCTGCTTTACTAACCACACATCTGTAGTACGATCTCCCCAAGGAGGCTCGCGCCTACATTGAGTTCATTGAGGAGTTCGTCGGCGTCCCCATTTGCTACATTGGCACCGGCCCTAAGCGTGAGGACATGATTGTCCGCAAGACCTCCGCCATTAAGGAGTAAATTACCACCTAAAAAGGCGTTTCTGTTTGGGTTTGTGGGATTTAAAGAACAACACTCCGTCATCAACGATACCATGGACAGGAACGAACATGATATCGTATTAACAATGATTTACAACAACAACCACAATAAGAAGAACGAACAACGACAGGGAAAAAAAAAAGCGAGGGCGCTTTAACTTACGATGATCTCATCCGTCATTTCTCTTTTTTCCATCTGCGCTGCGCTACATAAGAACGCCAGGGACAGTGATACCCCCTATACACTACACATCACATGATTTAAACGGCTTCGGATCAGAAATTCGAATCTTTACAACAACTAGATAGAGGTTGTTCGTTGGCTCTGGCGGTGTGGTTAGCCTTTGTCACTTTTCGCGGGTTGTTGGAAAAAATAGAACGTTGGTTTTTTTTCTTTTGACCAGGTGTTCCCTTGTGAGTCTCTTCATGGAGCTTTGCAAATCACCTACCTTTACCAAGCACAGGTACAGATCGACATCCTTCTTTTACATGATTCCATTTTTTACATAATATACAGGCTATGATGTCCATCCTGTTATATCCAAAACCTATCGAATCGGAAAATTCGACAAAGTCACATCACATCTTCAGCTTAAAGCTTATGAACCCTCTTATTCGAATCCGCGCATCCGCACACATCGAACAGCGCAACGCTAGGATCGTGATCCGAAACCACAGCAGAATCAGTCACCCACGAGCTAACGTGGATGTGCTGGAACTTGCTCTTGGAGGAAGCGAGAACAGGGGAGATGTACATGTGGTCGAGGGCCTGGGCGTTCATGTCGTAGGAGCTATTGGTTGGTTGGTTGGACTGTCAGCTACGGATCTGGAAGAAAAATTCGTGACGACCAAAAGAAGAGCGAGGACTTACTAGGTATAACGGTTCTCAACAGGAGTGTTCAAAGCCTCATCAAGTTCCTTCAGCCCCGACACCTCAGCAAAAGTAGTCAACGGCTTGACAAAGGCGAACTCGTTGAAGTCACCAGCAGCAATCACACGAGCCGCCGGGTCGGCTTGCAAAATCTGCGAGATGAACTTGGCCGTAATCTCCGCCTGTTGCGTGCGTTTCTCAACCCCGCCATTAATCGGCGGTCTCACATCGCCATGCACACTGCTACCCCCGCCCTTGGAGGTCATGTGCACATTCACCGTGAAGAACGGCTTCTTTCCGTCTTTGGCAATCCATTCGGCAACCAAGGGCTTGCGCGTAGCTTTCCATGCTGCGTTAAGGGGGTCCACGCGGCCAGGGTTGAACTTGAGGCTCGGCTGGCCTGTTTCGGCATCAACGATGACCTCGTTGGCATCCGTGCTGGAGCCCGGGTTCGGGTTCTTGAGACTGAGGATGGATGGGTTGTAAAGATAGGCAGTGCGGATGTTTCCACCCGGTTGTCCACCGTCTTCGTCATTCACTGGCTCGATGGTGACATAGTCATAAGTCGGGCCGCCAGCACTCTTGATAGCCGAGATCAAAGTGGCCAAGGTCTTGTTGGCGGACACCACGCCATCGTCAGTAGCGCCCGTGTTGTCTTGGACTTCCTGGATGAACAGCAGGTCGGGGGACTTGAGGTAGGTGACGATTTGCGAGGCGACCTTGGGCATGTGGGCGGATGTGGGCGCGAGGTTCTCGACGTTGTAGGTGCCGACTGTCAGACCGTTGCAGGATCCGGAGGAGACCAAGCTGGTAGGGGGCGGGGTGAGCGCGGAGGGGGTCTTGATCTTGATGGCGGTGAGGGGTAGGATGGTGTAGAAGCCGTAGGTGTTGGTGACTACGCCGGTGATGTCTTCGAGGGCGTCGCCGAGCTTGGTGGTGGTGGGGTTTTTGGTGGAGTCGAGGGGGGCGCCGATGAGGATGGTTTCGGGGTTGGAGTCTTTTTTTGAAGCAGGTATTAGATATGAGTTCTGTGGCAGAATCTAGGGAGGAAGGAGAAGAAAAGGAAAGAAAAGAATTTAATTTACCCTTGGCGCTCATGGTGAGAGAACCGGCGTCGTTCTTGCCAGTGACCTTCCAGTCACCGATGACCCAGGTATCCCGGTAGCTGCTGGGGATCTTGAGGGCAGTGGGGGCCTTGACGGTGACCAACTCGCCAGTGAGGGACTCCCAAAAGTCGAGGCCATACTCGGCGGGCTTCAGAACAGGGTTGACGGCAGAAATGTTATGTTGAGCGTTCGGGACGCCGTAGATGTCGCCTTCGTCGAGGCTGGTGAACTGCTCGGTGGGAGGAGAGAGAGTGTCCTTGCCGATGACGAGAGGAGTGACAGCGTTGTTGCTGGACACAATAGTGATGTCCGATGGGTTGGTGAGCTCGGTCAGGTACATGTAGGTGTTGGAAGACCTGTACTCAGACACTTTGGCGCTGCCCAGGTTGATGATGTCGCCGACGTCGACGGTCCTACCAATGGTGCTGCTGAAGACGTAGATGGATTCGGAAGTGGCCTCATCATCGTCTGGGGTGGTCGAGCGGATGTAGATACCGGCAGAGGACTTGGCAGTAACGAGACCGGTGACATCGCTGACGGTCTTGCCGTTGTAGGACGAGATGTACCTGTTGCCGTTGATCTCGGCAATGGTCAAGGCCGCGGAGAGGAGAGGCTGCAAGCCGGCAACGGCCCAGCAGAGAACGCCCTTCATGTTGGAGGAGAAGGAGTTTAAGAAGTGACGGATGATGAGAACACTTCCGCGGAGGGCAAACCACTGAAGATCTTTCTACCTCTCTTTCTCTCTCTCTCTCTTTCTGACTCGGACATTGGCGATCGGGGGCAGCCCATTGAGCTTATAAAGAAATTTCCCCAGCTACATACAGTTACATACTACATACCTCTTTGAGTGGTGGTACTCCGAGGCCAGACCGAGCCGGGCAAAAGGTCCACGGGATGGTGGTACACGTGGGGACCAGTCGCGAAATGCCTGGATGGTTTATTGCGAGACAGAAAAAAAAAACAAAATCAAGCATCCCGCGATGTTACACCCGCTTATCGCGCGATCTTGGCCAATTCAGGGGAATCACAGCCGATGACAGAGAACATCGGCAAACGATGCTATCCCACTTGCTGTAATCAGTAACGTTATGACGGGGACAGCCGCGTTGATTGGTGAGATGGTTGGCACGTTTTTCTTGGTGGTGTTGCTTCACCTTCCCAAACGGACAGGTGCCAAGATGTTGTTGCCAGGGGGGATGAAGAGCTAGCAGATGGACAAGCTCCGCTGCAGGGTAACGCCGCAAGCACGAAGCAGGACAAGCAGCAAATAACATAACAGCATATATGTATGTACACTAGAGTGCCTGCGGAGAAAGCAGCAGGTACAGTAATGTGCCCTGTTAATGCAAGGCCCCCCTTTTGCAAACACATACAAACTGGCCCATTAGATGCAAACGATTTCTGGGCCCGGATTCCCAGTTTTGTATGTGAGTGAGGTACCCCTTAATGCAAAAGCCCCCTTAATGCAAAAGATTTGAGCCGTCCCCCATACTGCCGGAATTAGTTGTATTAACAGGGCACATTACTGTACGTAGGTACGCACATTAGTGCAGATGGTTAGATGCGCTCCGGAGATGGCAAATCAGATACCGGATACCGAACTGATGCCGACGATTGACTGACTAGTAGAGCCAAGCTGTTGAGAGATATATGTAACATAGTAAATGACAAAGTGAACAGCTGAGTTCAGAGTTTGGAAAAGATGATCTGAATGGGAACTAAATGGGCCTGGTCGAGGACGGGACCGACCAAGAGGACCACTGATAAGTTGATGATTCTGATTTATTGAGATATCGGAAACATTCCCGTACTTGGCTTGAATGTCAAGGAAGTAGCAGATGTGGAAGACTACAACTGGTGATAGGCACGACCAGGAAGTTGTCTGAATTTACTTGCTGACAACTTTATCAAATGACCTGAAGTGTTGTTGTTAGTGCTCGGAGATGATAGCCTGGAAAAGGTGAAGTAGTAAGTTGCGGAATGGTGAGAAATAGGGCAGTAAGAGAAAACTGTCTCTCGGGAAGCGACAGGGAGTATTATGGAAGGCAGATGAAATGGAGGGACGAGGAAAAAAAAATAAAAAATAAAAAATAAAAAAAAAAACCGACGAACACCCGACTCGCTGACTGATGAGGGATGAGATGGGACCGGTAATCGGAAGTCGCCTGATTGGCCGATTGTTTTGTTTATGGAAGGTGTTGGCAGGAGGATAGACTGTCGAACTTTTACCATGTTCACGACAAGCCTCTATCGCTGTCATGACATCTCTTTTATTTATTCCCATCCGCAACACACTTGTGATATCTCCAAAGAGATTAATTTGCCCCCCGATGCCGAGGGGGCCTAAAATTGCATATGCGACGCATCGATCCATGTGCAGTCAAGCTGCGTGAACGGATGTTGGCGATCGGCAGCCCTATAGTTGTAGAGTGTCGCAGAGCGTTACAGATGGGTTGATGTCGCGATACGCTAGGGACAAGAAAAAAAAAGGGTCGAGTTGCGGTAAATCTGGAAATTGGACATTGAGACATGGGGAACAGTGCCGACCGACCGATGCTGAAAGCGAACTGCCTGCAATGCGGGGGAGTGGAGGAACAGGGCGCGAAGGCCCGAGTCTGGACGGGAGCAAGCAAGGTCGCCGGGAAGAGCGGGGCCGTTCTGGACTTGTGTAACCGGTCTTGGGCATGATGTTCATTTGCAGGATGTGACGACAGACGATAACAAATTACCGCACCGGAGCCCGGAAGTCCGGTAGCGGCTACCACGGAGCCGAGAAGGCGGAGAAGGCCCGGCCAACCGAACCACCAAACGACGCCAGCTCGGATCCGGTCTAGCCGGGACCGAATGCCCATATGAAGGTGGTGGGTCAAGAATGAGGTGCCTAACAGCTTTAAGCTCTAATCCGCACCTGAGTCTGTTAGTGCTACCGTTAGCACTTAGCTGCCCCTGAGCATGTCGTGCGACTGGCGCCGGCGTGTTGAACCCCGGAGTGTAAAATTCCCGGACGAATTAACGATTACATAGGTAGGCCCTGTCCATCGTTTCGTGATATGATAGCCAGCCGCCGATCTTCCTCCTTTGGACGTTTAAAACATGTTGGCGGTGATGGTGACCCTGATAGGGAAACAGGGGCTTTTGGGTTATCACAATCTCACGGTCCACCCCCTCTCTGCATTTCAGCATCGGTCTGGATTTGAAGGAGCTGCGGTCTATCCACATAAGCACTGAAAATAGCCTTGCGGAGGGGAAGGGGGAGGGGAAAGAGGAGAAGAAGAAAAGAGGACACACGCGAAGGGTCGCTTGTATCTATAGCTTTTATGCTGAACAAGATCCAATGGAGAGTGCTCAAGTATCGGCTTACGGTGGCTGAGAGGCTGTAGCGAGCTGCCCGATGAGGCGAGACAATCTTCCGTAGTAGATTTTTGGTATTCCTAGTGTAATGTAGAGGTGATGATCAAGCTGCCACTTACAGATAGTAACCTCAAAGAGAGGGTGCTGATGTCGACATGCCATCCATGTGGTTGCATGCAGATATATAATGAGTATGGGGCATGCCTTTCTCGTGATCTCTAGGCCTCTGTCGATCCCCCATGGTAGGGCACGATGGTGGCATGAAGGGCCTGTCTGGGTCTCATGTTAACAGGCCCATGATGACCTAGCTCATCTCGGTAGCTACCGGTCCTAGCCACAACGGCTAGACACCCAGCAGGGGCTCGTATCCTCACTAAAAAGGTCTTGGTGGTGGTGGTGGTCTTGTCGTTCGAGGTCGTGTCGTTGAAGCTGGAAGAGGCTTGTCAAAGCTGGAGGAGGCTGACCATGACGGACACTTTCTCCGGTGCGAAATCAACACAGATCTCTCTCTCTCTCTCTCTCTCTCGGGTGTCAGAGTGAGCAAGGTCGCTGGCGATGTTCTTGATAATATTGGGCTTCATGTTTTGTTGTCGTATCGCGTGTTTTGGACAAGACGGGGATATTTGTTTCACGCAAAGAAACAGAAACAGAATGAGCGAGGGTCGTGGTGGTGGTGGTGGTGGTGGTGGTGGTGGTGGTGGATGGCGGTGGATCAAAGTCAGCGTGCCAATGTTGGCCAGGGCAATGCTGCAACTTTTGATGAGGACTGGGGCCGGATGCGACGCTGCGAATTGCTGCGTACACTACAAGATGTCATGATTTAGATAGCACCACTGCAGAGAGTAGGTAGTGTCCGTTGTGATGTGACTATTTTGGTTGTAATTTCAGCCTCTTTTCAGACTCGATCTTCATGCTGCTGCTGCATATAGCTGATGACATGTTTTGTGCTGCCTGATGTTCAGATAAATTGATGCCGGCCGGCATTGAAAGAAGCCGAGGCAATGGAAGACGCGGACCTACCATAGAGGTAACGCCGAACGGGCCAGTCAGGCGTGGGTGTGTTACATACAGGTCCCGTCCTTCATCCTTCATCACTTGCTTCCTCTTCTTCAGCACCACTCTTTGCATGCGATTGAGAAATTGCCGATTGCTTCACACCTCAAACGGCATGAACTTTGCCCTGGCTGCATGATGCGGAATGATGGGGCACGAATCAGCGAGATTGAAAAAATTCGAGATGCCCAAGCTTTTGACTTCCACGTGCTTAGTTGCACCTGGGCTTGTGGCGTGAGGTGGCATTTGACTTGTTGGGGAACTTGAACCGAACGGGATGTGCCTGAGGTGCCCCTGGCATAAAAGGGACGCGGACCTGGACTCCCGTCAGGGGCAGCTGAACTGAAAGATTCAATCCGTTCCGCTTCGGAGTTCCAGGCACCAGGGGCACCTATCTGGATCAAGGGACAGGGCAGGGCACCACTGAGGTGCTTCCAGTGACATCACAGCGGGGGTTGAGCCTGCCCTCAAACTCGGCGGGGCTCATCTCCCTTCTTTTAGAGCACCAAGACCTCGCAATATCCCGCCAGCCCAGCACGACGGACTTTAAGTTGCTTGGGTGTTTGACAGTGCCCGTCATTTCGACATGTTGGCTTTACCTTAGTTCTGCTGCTTGACTTGCACCACGAGATCGCCGTCCTCTGGATCTTCCTCCAGGGTCCGCGATATGAACTGTTGGTGATCAGCACTCTGGTCCACCAGAAACAGTCACCATCAATCAACTCGCGTCGAGACCCTTTATTGCAGCGTCGTTTAACAAAGGTCGCCGACGACATACCCACTAAATCATCATGCTGGGAAATGCGCAAAAGGGACGATACTGGCAATGCTGGGAGCACATCAGACATGGCAACAAGGGATATCCCATGATGTGTCCGCACCCTAATTACAGCGCCAAGAGATGTTCAGCAGTCTCTGTCACGGCGGTCAATGAGGAAGCAAATCATTGACGCAGACATGACAGCAAAGCAACAACTCTCGCTATCCTCCTCGCCATCACTTGATCCTTTCGGCTTTCTGGACGAGGTTGTGACTTGTGCCATGAGGATTTGGCTGTCATTGTCAAGTCTCACCTTCTTCAAGGCCATAGCCAAAATGTCGGGGCTCGAGCAATATCAGAAACAAAGAGAAACAAAAGGCAATCTGGGCAATATGTCAGCGGACTTTCAAAGCGGTGGAGGACTTGGAGAAAAGAAAAGAAAAGANAAAAA